CTAGATTATATAGCTCAATTAATGCAAAACTTGGAAGAAAAAATTAGGGATCTAGAATGTAAACTTCCAAATTGCTTAACATTTCTATAAGAGAAAATGGTACTGCAGCAGATCACACCTGAGCACCAGAAGGTAGTTGAGTAAGTTCAGAATAATTAAAGGAAGGTATTTTAATATAGTTTATATAGTAATTTACTTTATAGCTTTTATAAGTTTTTCCTTAATAAAATAATGAGCAAGATTGCCTAAGTTATAAAATAAAATAAAATAAAATTGACTAAAAAAATTAAATTTTATAATGATAGTGATTATAAACAATTTGTGACTATAAAGAGATTTATTTCTTACGTTTTAAGTCTGTTTCATAATTTTAGGTGCTTATATAGAGGTGTTACTATATAGGGTGTGATTATATAGAGGTCTGACTGTAATACATCCCTAACCACATTATGTTTACTAGAGTTTGAGTTAATTCTACCAAAATTATGTTTACGAGTTAAACGTTAATTAAATTCTACCAAATTTACGGTTACCAGAATTACTAATTAATTCTACCTACATTATGTTTACCAGGGCTACGAATTAATTATACCTATCGCTATACTAAAATTAGGGTTGTATAACTTAACTTACCAATCTAATTATGGCCAATATTATTCTTTTAATCGGATAAATCGGTAAAGGTCATTAATGCAGTTCTTTTCTGGTTTTACATAACAGATAGTGATGGGACTTAAGAATTAAAATTGAAAATCCTAACTCTGCAATATATTGCCACTATCGCTATGCAAATTACGATAAACAAAATTTTCAGACCGACATTTTGGTTCTCCCATGTTGCTTGCTTTACAACTAAAATCCACCTTCGGCTTATGTTTTTAAATTCATTGTAAGGGATTTGATAATTTACCTTTAATTGTTTTATCGTATGTATTTTTGGTCAATGATGAAATCTTAGCACCCCTTAAATATCAATATTTTTTATAAAAAATTTAATTATATTTCCAAAAAAAATATATTATGAATTGATTATAATTAGAGGTTGAAAATTCGAAAACCGAATTGGACCAATCAAAAAACCGATTTAAGCTAAACCGAATCGGGTTGATCAGTGATAATTCTGATTGGTCAAAATTAAAGATCCATTTCTCTAAAACCGAATTGAATTTTTGAAACCCGGTTTATCTGTCAACCGAATTGAAATGTCAGAAATCGAGTTAATATTAAAACCGGTTTAACTCGAATTTGAAGTTGAATTGTAAGAACCGGTTCCGACCTCTAATTATAATGAAAAAGTTTAAAAACTAAATTTTATTTCCTTCAGTTGAATACTTAAAAAAACAATTTATTGAGCTAAAGAGAATTTGTAAAAAAACTTTATTATATCTAATAAAACTCTTAAGTGCAAAACTAATCAATATAAAATGTTATGCATAAATGAGGTGCGCAGTGTAATGATTTACCAAACATAAAAACATTTAATAACTGCAGAATAAGCTCGTGCAAAAAATTGAATATCTGACCTATATTGCGATAAATTATGCATTAAGTACAAATCATAAGATTTTAAGGAAGTTGTAAATAATTACCTGGTTGAATATCCCAACGTCAATAATAAAAAAATTAACAAGATTAAAAAAATTAAGATTATTTTCATAATCCTTTTTTCAAATTGTTCAAACTTTTCTATAAGATCATGATCTTTACATTTATGATCTTTTCTTAATAAAAAGTATGCTGGAATATCAGTTGCCATTTCATTAATACTCGTAAATATAATACTGGCTGAAGACTTTTGAGACTTTGCACGTTTCGAACTACTGATTGAGCATCCTGTTTGAGATGTTACAATAATACCCACTGTATTTTGTGGATAACCTTCAACTATTTTTTCAAATCGGTTAATATTACCAACTGTAACCTGATCATTGCAATATACCAAGATAAAATTGTTGTTATAAGATCCAACCAAATTTATGTATTCATTGCGACTGGAATAAGAAAAAAAAAATAATAAGTAAATATCATCATTATCAATGCATCCTATTCACCACAACTTCCGCGCAGGGCTAGATCGAGCTTTCGGGTAAGACATAACGGAGAAGGACGTTCACAGGTACAGGTACACCTGTGGCCACGATGCGCTTCCGGTTCTCCGCAGTCCCCCTAGTGGCAGCGTAACTTCAGATACATAACGACTAGAAATCTACTTAGTGAATTCTCACCTAACTTCTGAAAGATTAATGTTAATGTAGTTCAGAGCTTTTCGAACGGTTTCTGTAAAAATACCTTTGCCTACAACAGACGAAGTCATGATAACAATGAATAAAATGTTTTAATAAAAAAAACATTACTATATATGCAAAAATTTTGGAGTAGAAAATTTTTTTTTTCTCAAAAAAATGGAGATTAAGGAAAAGACTTGAAAATTAACATTACTTGAAATTTCTGGTTTTCAGCTGTTTAATTGGCAACTCGTGTGAATTTTTTTCGTACGTATAACAATGATTTACGTATAGTAAATGCCATGATTTTTGACGAATTTTATTAAATTTATTAAGATTTTTTTAAAATTTTAAAAAAATCGCACTATTTTATTAAAGTATAAAGTCTGGAGAGCAATTAGGTAAAATTTCTAGGAAAGTTATTATGTAAAATTTTGAAGAGATACGATTTGAAATTCAAGAAATTTTAATAATGTTTTCATAAAAGAAGATATCAAATTTCAAATCGCATCTCATCAAAATTTTACATAACTTTATAAAATAGAGCAATTTTTTTTTATTAAAAATATAATATATACGTATTTTAATAACGTTAACTAAAAATTAAAAATTTTTTTTATAAAAAAAATCTTGATCGGAAACCCGATCATCTGCTTGGTTACACAGTGTATTACAAACTGATTTTTTTTTTTTTTATATAATGATAACGATAAATAATCAATAAGGTTGTTATTCTTAGCAAAAGTAACAAATGGATTATTCAGAAGACGAAAATGATTATGGCGACTACTTAGAAGATCATGAAAGTGATGATGATGATCAAATGGAAGATGTTCAATCTACTTCTGATAATTTTATAGTTGAACCATCAAATGATCAAGGAAAAATAATGTGGAAGGGAATATGAAAACAGAAACTTTTTCGACATTATATAAAGAACTGTATTACCTTATGGCATATACTATATATATAAGATAATAGACATGTAAAGAAAAACAAAAACAAAGAACAAAAAAAGAAAAGAAAAGAAAATGTTGCTCAAGTACTATCTCTATAGTGCTTGAGACTTTTGTAAAAATTGTATAAAGTACTGATACTATAATATATTTTATATCTCTAAATTATTAATCTCTGTTCTGCTACTAGGAGGTATCTAAATTTGTTACTAACTATGCTTATCTAATTACGTGTATTATTGTTTATTTTTGAGTTATTTGTAAATATGTAGTTTTCACTAATTTAGATATGGTATTGTTAATCTTTTTTCAGGAGTAGGCTGAATTCCCACAAATGAGAAAGAATGAAAATCCAAAGGACCGAAGGTGAAAAGCAGGTGCAAAAAACCAAGTAAGAGTAAGTGAGTGTAAAAGTATTTGTCCCAGTACAAATACTGTGATATGTCTCTTCTTTCATTTCTAAATTTCAAACTTCTATAGCTTCTCCTATTTAACTTTAATACTCTGCAAGACAAACTTTCAGCTAAAATATTAGAACTGTTCACTTTAGCTTTCTGC